CACACAATCACCCACCAATTGATCCATCAATTCATCTATTATTGGAAGTGGATACTTGTTCTTAATCGTTACTTTATTCAATTGTCTATAATCAACACAAAGCCTCATACTTCCATCTTTCTTCTTTACTAGCAACACTGGAGCTCCCCATGGAGATACACTTGGTCTCACAAACTTCTTTTCAAGTAAATCTTCCAATTGCTTCTTTAATTATGACAATTCAGATGCAAACATCCTATATGGTGCCATAGAAACAGGTCTGGTACCAGGTACAAGATCAATGGCAAATTTGACTTCTCTCTTCAGCGGTACATCAAGAATTTCATCAGGGAAAACTTCAGGAAATTCACGCACCACTTGCAACTCCTCAATTATAGCTTGATTCTCGACAGATAGCAACGCCGTTAACGAGAACATCATATCCTCATCTTGCATCAACTGTCGCAACTGTCTAGCAGACAACAAACCAGCTTCCTCCTCTTCAAGAGTAGAAAACTTCACAGACTTGTTATAACAGTTAATATGAACACAGTTATGCTCTAACCAGTTCATACCTAAGATCACATCTAACCCACTTAAAGGCAAACAAACTAAATCAATGGCAAAGTCTCTATTGAATATCGACAAAGGTCACTTTAAACACACAAAATAAGTAGTCATCGATCCCTTGGCTGGAGTATCGACGACCATCTCTCCATTCATAGGAGACAACATAAGATTCAACCTTTAAACAAAGTCAGCAGTAATTGCAACGTCATTCCTTCCAACCATCTCAAACTTCTAATCTCAACACAAATAACGGTTAGAATTCAAATTAACAATACTCAATTGTTAAACAAACTACGACTCGACAACTTGGTCAGACGAACCGACTCGCTCTGATACCACTAATGTAACACCCCATTTCTACCCGGCGAATAATATTAAAATCAGAGTTACAAAATTTCGACATACAAATAGGATGTTACACTTACTACTTAAAAACACCTTCAGTTAATCGCATGTAAAACATATACATAACACTTAAACTCGGATGAACCATTAACCACATAATTTAGTCTTTAAAATAAAACAACTTTTATAAATAAGCAGCGGAATCACAATTTTCAATTCAAATGACATAACATCTTTATCCAACTGAAACAACTTTAAAAACAACAGAGTACTTATTAAATAAATTTAAAATTCAGAAATGGAAGTAATCACAATAATAAAGCAACAAACGTTCATCCCCCCGAGTGTTATGTATCAGAGCGACGACACCGACTCAAACTACTGAAGGTAAACAACCTTTACTCTGGATTACCTGTAAGTTACCAACATAGCGGTAACATTTAAACAGAAGGGGTGTGATATCAGACAATATAATAGAACGCATGATAAATAATATATTAGAATCAGTTCATACAAAATTACCACTTCGCAACTCTTTAACAATATTTAACATAATCAATTCACCCACACACAACTCAGGATGCAACATGAAATACGACTTGTTTTTATGCACATGCATGTCGTACCATCGGAGCAGAACTCCCAACTTAATAATTTACCTATTAAAAGAGGCATCAACAAGGCATAAGCCCTCAACTTTATATTTTCTAATCCATGCCAACTTATCTAGTATGAGCTCCTAACTTGATATATTATGTATGTGATAATAGTATAAATGTAGTTACAATAAGAACAATAATTCAACAACTCAACATAATTCAACATTGGCCATAAGCCTACAACTTAATATATGGCAATAATTAGAAGCATATCAACAAAATCATCATCACCTGCCAATTTTCAAATTATAACAAAGTATACAATACACTTGTATTAACCAAAATATACTACGACATCCTGCATAATTATTTGGGCAATTCGACTATATCCGGCTAAATAGTTTTCTGCTAAAATACTAATGTTTTCAGTTTTGTACTACTATTTCCAATTTCATATGGTTTACTTCTAGACACTTATTAATTATTTTATCTTTGTTACTAGCTACTAATTTGTTCTCCTATTAATACTGCTACTGAAAACTCTACTAAATTACTTTTACTGATAACCTTATTATTAGTTCTTTGCTAATTATTAATTCTACTATCTCTTCTGCTACTAACTTATATCTACTAGTAACCCATTAATCATTCAGGGGGTAAATTACCTTAAGAACTCTAATTATTATGCCAAGATTGTTAAACAATTAATTCACCAATTAGGATGCACATGAGCAAAGAAAAAAAAGAATAATAAATACATGTGCCCTTCGGCACAACAACCCTGCCGCTCGGTGCAACAACCCTTTTTGCTTATGTGCCGGTCGGCACACACCATGCCCCTCAGAACACCTTGCAACCTTGTGCCGCTCGGAACAAGCACCTATGCCCCTCGGCACAACGTGTCTTCTTCTATCCCTCACATACTTCAGTTTGTTACTAATACTAACGCATATTTTTCCAAATTTTCCTTTGATTACAAATCTCATACCAAAACAACACTGATTAACAGAAAAATATAACAACTACACCAACCATGGGTTAATTTCCAACCTTTCGTTCATCGATGGAATTACTACAACGTTATCAGAAATTATGACAGTGGTAACATGAAATCCAGAAACAAAAACAATTTCACGCACGACAACAATTATGCACACAACCAATCCCTACATAATATTCATCATGATTCCCATTATAGAGTTAGAACCCCACCCTTACCTTGAATTGAATTTCACTATATAACTCTCTGACCGAAAACCTTGCTTTGCTTCTTCTTTTTATTCCTCTTCTCTGCAACTTCTCACAATCAATTTCCAACTCCTTATCAATTAACCCTATTATTTATTTAAATAAAACCTCAAAATATTATTATTCTTAGTGGGCTTAACAACACCCCCCCCCATATCTCTACTTATAACCATTAAAATAGGCCCAACATAATTATTCTATTATTATACGAAATCTAGTATTATTACTATTATTAATCAACTAGTTAATTAACTAGTAACAATCTAGCAATTTATGCCAACAATTCACAACATCTCACAACTTCAACGAATAATTCTAAAATAATTTAATTAAATAATTAATTAAATTAAAGGGCGTTACACACACCTGAGAGGTGGCACGGGGTGCGTGTCCGAGAGGGAACCACCTTATCCCAAAGTGGATCACTGAGTCAGATTGATGGGTAGATACCTATCACCTTAGTGGCGCTTAATCTTGAAGCGATACCACGACCCTTTGCAGAGGGATTGATATTCTGGAATCATGTGCATCGACATATATACATTGCATTAGTAATGAGTCCTAAATTATGCTATATGTATTATTGTTGTAAATGATTATATACATGTGTTAGAATGAGATCTCTAGCCATGTATAATGTATTCTCTGTTTATGCTTGTTGCTTTGTTCTTGTATATTTGTTATTTTTGGATTGATGATCCTTTCAGTGGATTGTGTGGGCTATACGCCAATATATTATGATGCTTCTAGGACACGAAGAGACGCCACCGTCGAAGACGACATAATTCACCTTCCCTGATACGTGGTCTGATGCATCCCGGGGGTTCAACACAGCCTTGGGGCAACTGTCATACACCAGGAACGTAATTGAGGCCACTTCTATAGTATGACAAGATCCGGAGACCACTATTACTCTCTGATCTATGACCTTTACGATTACACTATCATTGATCATCTCCAGCTACCTCTCAAGAGAGATTGATCATTTTGGATGGTTGGCCCACCATTGAGGTCCTCCCATATCTTCACACGCCCCAGTTGGAGGAGGGGAGCCGCTCTTTCCTGCTATGACCATGCCTTCCCTAGATCTAGATATATCGTTAGGGATACCCTCTACCTTTACTCGAGACGTCTTTCCCATAGATGAGCCCCCTCGTATTGATCCAGCACGTGTACCATCATTCGAGTTGGTCGAGGGTGAGGCAGAGGACGAGGATGATTATGATCCCTCAGAGCACGACTATGAGAGCGAATACGATCAGGATGGATCTCAATCACACTTTGTCGAGCACTTGTGGTGGATTGTACGAAGCAGGAGCAAGAGAGTATTGCAGATGCCGCTAGGTTTTGATCAGCGTAGTTAGATAATGAGTGGTAGGAGTAGTCCAACACTAGATGGTGGTTTCCTGTATGCGTAGTCCAAACAGTTTTCTCCCTAGGGCAGCTCTCCTGCGTGAGTGTCTGTCAGGGACTTTATTTATGTCATTTTATAGATTGTATTTATAACCTCTACTTGAACTTCATACCTTATGATGCTTGTCATCTATAAGCAGTATATTTTATGTTCTAATATGGTTTATCGTATCTCTTTCATAAAAAAAGGGACACTATTTTCGTACAAAGAAAACCTTTAATTATTTTATTTATAGAAATAGTACATTTTAAAAATACACTTTCGCTGTTAAAAATCAGGGTGTCACATTGTGGTATCAGAGCTTAGGTTTATCTTGGGAACCGTGAGTTTAAGTTGATCACATGTTTGGAAAATTTTAGAGTTATATCCACATTTTAAAGATATTTAAGATATGACATCCACTCACAATTTGGAAGTAAGGTATTAGAAATTCTCTTGAAACATGTAATGAGAATTCTAATTGGGTATCATTTTTGTAGGAAAGCTATGCCTCCAAGACATGACAATACTAACGATGGGATGAACAACCATCAGGTGGATCAATGGCCCAAGCTATGGCTAATATGGCAATTGTTGTTAGCTTGCAAACTGCTACTAACAACCTTCGAGATTTATAGAAGAGAGACAAAGAGATAAGAGTCGGAGAATCAAGAGGATTAATTGATTTTCACCGCCATGATCCACCTAAATTTCAAGGAGATGTTATTCATGAGAAGGCTGACTTATGGTTACAAGATAATGAGAAGATCTTTGAGGTAATCAATTATCCTCCAAAAGCAAAGGTGTTGTATGCCACATATTTTCTCTTAGGTGATACAGAATATTAATGGAGAAGCACTAGATTGATGATGGAGGGTGCACAAGAAGAAGTAAATTGGGAGGCCTTTAAAACAAAGTTCTTAGAAAAATACTTTCCCATAAGTGAAAGGACCAAATTGGGAGACGATTTTCTGAAACTTCGATAGGGAGGTATGACTGTAAGTGAGTACACCGCCAAGTTTGAAACTTTATCCAGGTATTTTCGGTTCTTCAGGAAAGGAGTGGATGAAGTTTACATGTGCCACCGTTTCCAAGAAGGACTTAGGTACGAACTACATGACTCAGTGGTTCCATTAGGCATACAACGCTTTCAATCATTGGTGGAGAAATGCAGAGAAATAGAGGACATCAAAAATAGGAGGGCAAATTGTGGGGAAGTCTAGAACTCTATAGGACCTAGTCGTTCAAATTTTCATAATCATAGATGTAATAAACAACAGATAAGGCCATACCAACGACCACACTATAACAATCGAGGACCTCAACGAACAGAAAACCATAACACCAAAGAAGGAGGAACTCAAGTTGCCCCAGTGGTACGTTGTTACCAGTGTGGTTAAGGTGGACATTATATGAATGAATGTCCTAACCTACCTTCTACAAATGCAACAAAAGAGAACATGTGGCGAAGGACATAAAAACTCCAAAGGTAGAGTTAGTTGTTAATAATGCCAGAAACGTCCAACCAACTGCTCAAGGGCGAGTGCATTGTATGGGTGCAGAGGGAAGATCTTTGTCCAACAACTTGATCCAGGGGAATTGTGAAATTGAAGGTACCATTTTAACTGCACTTTTTAACTCAGGGGCAGCGTATTCATTCATATCTAAGGATTGAGTTGATTGATTGAAAATGATAGTAACTCCATTAACTGTTGACTTGGTGGTGTCTACCCCTGCTAAGGTTATAACTGTGAACACTGCATGCTTACTATGTAAAGTAATGGTTCTAGAGAGAGAATTTCTAGTTAATCTAATATGTTTGCCCCTACAATCTCTCAAGATTATTCTCGGAATGGATTGTATGTTATTTCACTATGTTATGTTAGATTGTGCTCAAAAGTTGGTTATTTTGCATGAACTAGGGGTTGTTAAATACCTGTCAGTTAACCAACTCAAAGTTTCTCTAAAGAATGGAGCCTTTGATCTTTAAATACTTGCTTGTATAGAGGTGATTTCTGAATTCAAGATTGAAGGCATGTTAGTTACTCAAGACTTTCAGGATGTGTTTCCCGATGAGATTCCCAGTTTACCACCTCTAAGAGACATTGAATTCTTCATTGACTTACACCTGGGAACTGGACCCATTTCCATTGCACCATAACGGATGGCGCCAAAAGAACTCCAAGAACTTAAATAACAATGGGAAGACTTGATGGAGAAAGGACTTATTATGCAAAGTGTTTCCCCATGGGGAGCTCCAGTACTTTTGGTAAAGAAAAAGGACGGGTGTTCTCGACTATGTATGGACTACAAATAGCTTAACAAGGCGACTGTAAAGAATCGATACCCCTTACCTCATATTGATGACTTAATGGATCAACTTAAAGGAGAATTCGTATATTCTAAGATTTATTTAAAGTTTGGCTATCATCAAATTCGTGTAAGAGAAAAAAACATGCCAAAGACTCCATTCAGGACTCGTTATGAACATTATGAGTACCTAGTCATGCCATTTGGAGTGACTAATGAACCCTCTATTTTCATGGATTACATGAACCAAATTTTACACCCATTTATGGACAAATTCATTGTGGTATTCATTGATGATATCCTTTTTTACTCTCAAAGTAAAATGGAACATAAAGAGCATCTACGTCAAGTGCTACAAATTCTACGTGAAAAGAAGTTGTATGCCAATCCATCCAAATGTGAATTCTGGATAGAAAGGGTAAAATTCTTAGGACATGTCATATCAAAGGAAGGAATTGTTGCGGATCTAGTGAAGATTGAGATCACGCTCGCATGGAATCAGCCTCAAACAGTCACTGACATAAAAAGTTTCATAGGGTTGGCTGGATACTATCGATGATTCGTTGAAGGATTCGCAAAGATAGTAGCTCCATTGACTCAACTAACTAGAAAGGATCAACCTTTCGCTTGGACTGAGAAATGTAAAGCTAATTTTCAATCATTAAAGAAGAAACTTACAATGTCACCCATTTTGATTCTGCCGCAACCTGAGGAGCTATACGAAGTTTATTATGATGCATCTCATCAAGGATTAGGATGTGTGTTGATGCAGCACCGAAAGGCGGTAGCGTATGCTTCGAGACAATTGAAGAATATTCTGGCAATATTATGCTATCCTATGTGGAGGTGTTTTATAGGTGTGGAAGATTCAAGTCATAATCAAGAAGAATATGCACTTTCTAATTATGGAGATAAATTAAGAAGAATATGATTGAAGATCTATTTTGTAGTAGAAGTTTCTGCTGATTTGTAGCAGCTTATATGTTGTGATTAGAAGCCCAAATCTAGTTGGAAAAATGTTATAAATATAAGTATTGTAACCTAGAAGACGGTACCAGCCGTGAATGAAAATGTAGTTGTTAGGTCTGAGTTTGTAAGCCAATCTCTAGGAGAGTTGGTATGTGTGATCCACTCGATATGTGAGTTGGATTGTGTTCCTTGAGTTGTAAGGTTCTGTTATCTCTCTTAAGCTTTTAAGCATAAAGTTGATTATTATTATTGGAGGAAGCTTTTAAGCAACTCTAAGTATTATTCTTAGTCATGAGTCTTGGCTAGGTAGTGTCATGGAAGTGTGTCTTCCTGTTTTGTTTTGATCCTATCACTATCTGTGATTGATGAGGGAGTTGAGGATGGCTTCATACCTAGGTGAGCCTTAGGTAGAAATTTAGCACGGGTATTGATTAAGTGAGAAGTTGTAAACGGGGGATTTTAGCTTTGAATTGATACTATTATAGTGGACTTTATCCCTGTCTTGGTATGCCCCTAGATTAGGAGAGTTTCTCCAAACTGGGTTAACAACTCCTTGTGTATTGTTTACTTTTCAACATTGTTTTGTATGTTTATACCTTGCCATGTTTGATTAGATCGATTTCAGATGTCTCAACATGTCATAGGACATCTGAAGTATGGTATACCAGAATTGAAATTAGTATCAGAGCGGGCATCATGTTCTGTTCTAGGTGAGATCTTAGGATGATACTTTCTGGTTCATGGGCAAGGAAGGAAGTATCTACTGAAAAGTTGTTTGAACTTGGATAGTTCATATTGTTGTTTGAATGGTCCCTTTAAGTGGGGGATGGACTATTTGTGGTAGGGTGTGTATTGGACTTGTTTGTTGTTATCAAACCTTTAGTTTTGGTGGTGAGCTGCTGTGTTGGGTTTGATTTGTTTTCAAACCTAGGTTATTTTGTTTGCACTTGGATTATGGTGGTTGTGGGCAAGAGTTTTATGTTATGTATGAAGAATGTTGAGGAGCTTGTATGTTTTATGCTCCGCTGCATGGTATCTGATGTAACCCTAGTTGTTTCTGGTGTCTCTAGTTGTGAAACTTTAGTAAGGTCTTGGAAGGGCATTAGGTTTTGGTCTCCTCAGTAGGGTTATCATATGGTGTTGTGATATGTGGCATATTTTTCTTTGACTTGTTAAAGTGGCCAAAGATACATGAGGGTTATCTCAAGTCCACTCATAAAGGAACTTATTAATAAGTTTGATGAGGATCTAAAGTGAAGATGATCAATCATGATCATATAAATTTTCACAGGTATTTATAGTTTGTGGCTATATTAGGAAAGTGGCCCTGGCCTTGTTTTTGTTGGAAGATGGATTTCCATTGAAAACTTTGAAGGTGATCAAGGATTGTTCTGTGTTTTGTGAGAAGGGAACTGATGTTCTACTGGATGTTGGAACATCATATCAGCAGATGTGCAGATTCCTGTTGCATAGTAAATGCTTTGGGTGCTAAACAAATGTGTTGATCACGTATATTTAGAACCTTCTCCTGACTTGGAAAAGGAGGCATCTGGGTTTTGTATCTAATGTGTTTTATCCAGAAAACATGTCTTAGATAAGTGGTCTGATCAAGAGATGATCAGCCTATTGAGTACTCTTGAGGTCAGTTTATTTCTGATCAATAACTATAGGAGTGCATAAGCTGTGCTGCTTTTGGAAGGGAGAATGTATGATTCTATAAGGTGTTCTTAGCAGCTATTGAAGAGAGTCTCTAATATGGAGTTAGAAGACCTTAAAGATATGTCAGACGTAATTTTTGACATCTTAGTGCTGAGAATTTTTTTTCTCAACATGTGTGGTTGATGTTTCTCTTAAATAGGATGAAGGTTGTTTACTCAAACTTGATATCATCTATCAAGTCTATGATAACATGGAACTCTTGTTTTGCTGGAGTAGAAGATACATTCAAGGGGTTGTGTGAAATTAGAGATGCATCAACCTAAGATAAGTTAATATTCTTTTGAAAAATTAACTTACAATTATGGTGTGAATCTGTCAGTGGTTGATTGGTATCTGCATTTTTGGAGTATCATTCAAACAGTTTTAGATGAGCTGAGTTGTCAAGCTTTTAAGGCTTGAAGAATTGGGAGAAGCAGACTTATTCTAGACATTCTATTTATGGTATGATGATCATTCAATACCATGTTTGTTGTGGTCTCTTCTAGATGTCTGTTAGAGAGAATCTTCTTTGTTGATGCATAAGGATGGCATCTAACACCTTAAAGTCAGAAAAGAGGTATTGATTTTGTGCTTATAAGAAGAAGCTTATTGGGGGTGTGTTAATATGCAGGTTACCGCATGGATTCATGATCTGGTCTTGGGAGTTGATCAGCTGTTGTTTAGTACCAATATGTGTTCTCTTTTGTTCTCCCTCAAGAGATATGTTTAAATTACTATGGGTGTTATCTCCAAAACCATAGTAAATGGTGGAATCCATGTGAATGAGATTGATATGTGAAAAGATGTTGGAATATAATCTCAAGTGTTTGCTTCTTCAGAGAATGAAGCTTGTTTTGAAGATCATGGTGTGAGTATTATTGATCACCATTGGATTTCAAAAATGGAATGCCTGGCCATGATGGAGTGTGAAGTCTAGTCTTTGACCAAGTCTGGAGATATATGTGGTATGAATGTCTATCATGATTGTCATCCTCTTATTCTAGGAGATTGAAGAAGAACGATGTCATATCAAATGTCCTAACATTTGTGGAAAAGGAGCATCATCTGTTGTTTATGTGTGAGGAAATTTTTCTCTGATGACAAATACCTTGTCGGGAGCTGGGTATAAGTCAGATCTGATGAAGGTGTGCATGTGAATGATGGTAAAGACCTTGTTGGGAGATGGGTACTTATCTAATTTATGGATGCAAATCTGCTTTCCGAACTCCTTGCTTCAGAAAGTATG